TTGCGCCAACCAAACTCGCCATCTCTCTCTCTCTCTCTCTCTCTCTCTCTGGTCCCCGCACACACTTGCAGGATTCGAATGAATCTCCCCGCTTCCACGGGAAGATTCATTCGAATCCTGCAAGTGTGCGCCGACCAGAGACACACACAGACACACACACACACACACACACACACAGAGAGAGAGAGAGAGAGAGAGAGAGAGAGAGAGAGAGAGAGAGAGAGATTCGAATGAATCTCCCCGCTTCCACGGGAAGATTCATTCTCATTTTGCGAATTGGTGGAGGGTGGATGACTCTTCCCCTGGAAGCGGGGAGATTCATTCGAATCTTGCAAGTGTGCACGCCGAACACACACACACACACACACACACACAGAGAGAGAGAGAGAGAGAGAGAGAGAGAGAGAGAGAGAGAGAGAGAGAGAGTGAGAGAGCCGGCGGGGTCCCGCCGGCTCTCTCACTCTCTCTCTCTCGCTCTCTCTCTTTGTTTCAATTTCTTTTATTTTTTGGCAGAAGAACGTCGTCTTTTTTTTTTTTTTTTTTTTGATGTGTACCTACCGGTAGCTCGAGGCTCGGCAAGGTTCGGCATACCGGTAGGTACTGGTGGGTCCACCGTTTCTTCCGGCTTCACTGCATCCTGTCGTGCGGGGTCCACTGTCTCTTCCGGCTTCACTGCATTGTTTCCAAAGGCTTTCCAGCCGCCAAGCTACCGCGGTGTATTCTCTGTCCACTGTCCAAAAAGCCCGAGCGTGGCCAAAGAATCCACGGTGGTGTCATGCCCCGATGCGGCCGTACAATCGTACACAAAAACGTTGCGCAGACTGCCCACTGACGTGCTTGCGACTTTTGGTGTGTGTCTGCGTTTTCTTCGACAGCGGTCGGATCTTCAAAGGTGTTCAGGTAGCGGTAGGATTATCCCGTGGTAGATTTTTTCGTTTTCTCTCTTCTTTTTGTGTGGGAGCGGTGGATCTTTTGCCAGCGTTGTTTTGGTAGCTTCCTCTGGGCGCCAACTAAAGGGGCATCGACCTTAGCTGATCGAGCCCAGGGGAACATTCAAGCTGCTGCAGAACCCAGGCGGAAGAACGAGTAAAGGTGCGGCAGAACGAGCGCGGAAGAACGAGCAAGGAGCAAGGCGGAGCGTGGAACAAAGAGCAAGTAGCGGGGCGGAGCGTGGAAGAACGAGCAAACGAGTGCGGACGAACGAGCAACGTGCGGCAGAACTAGCAACGTGGGGCAGAACGAGCAAGGTGCGGCAGAACGAGCGCGGAAGAACGAGCAAGGAGCGGGGCGGAGCGCGGAAGAACGAGCAAACGAGTGCCGAAGAACGAGCAAGGTGCGGCAGAACTAGCAACGTGGGGCAGAACGAGCAAAGTGCGGCAGAACGAGCGCGGAATAACGAGCAAGGCGGAGCGCGGAAGAACGAGCAAACGAGTGCGGACGAACGAGCAAGGTGCGGCAGAACTAGCAACGTGGGTCAGAACGAGCAAGGTGCGGCAGAACTAGCAACGTGGGGCAGAACGAGCAAGGTGCGGCAGAACGAGCAAGGTGCGGCAGAACGAGCGCGGAAGAACGAGCAAGGAGCGGGGCGGAGCGCGGAAGAACGAGCAAGGAGCGGGGCGGAGCGCGGAAGAACGGGCAAGGAGCGAGACGGAGCGCGGAAGAACGAGCAAGGAGCGGGCCGGAGCGCGGAAGAACGAGCAAGGAGCGGGGCGGAGCGCGGAGGAAGAACGAGCAAACGAGTGCGGACGAACGAGCAAGGTGCGGCAGAACTAGCAACGTGGGGCAGAACGAGCGAGGTGCGGCAGAACGAGCGCGGAATAACGAGCAAGGTGCGGCAGAACGAGCGCAGAAGAACGAGCAAGGCAAGGCAGAACGGTCGCGGAAGAACGAGCAAGGTGCCCCAGAACGAGCCAGAACAAGCGCGGCAGAACGAGCGGGGTCGATTCGAGAAAAGAAATGATATTGGTCGTCGGCTCTTCGTCGAATTGCTGTGGCTGGAAACGGCATTGACTTTCTCTCAGGCAAGCTATCTGTCATCCATGAACTTTCTCTCTCTCAGCGATGAACTTTCTCTCGGTGTCGACATGTCCTCTGCGCTGAGTGACGTCTCCTTTCCTTCTCCTCCTCTGTCTCTTCTATCGTTGTGCACGTGTTTGGTTGGATCTCGGTACCTGTCCCTCTATGGGACACAAGCAGTACCCCAGATGTGCTTGTATGATTGCATCTTTTCCCGCCAGAATGAGTGCGCGAAGTCGTCTGTGGCTCGAGTATGTCATGCCTCGTGATGGTGCCATGAAAAGGGCGGGAGAAAGGACGGGAGAAAAAACGGGAGAAAGGGCGGGAAGGGGGGTGGGGGGATTCGAGATTCGGGCGTGCTCGCGCGCGCAAAGGGCGGGAGAAGGCACGTGCAGTGAGAGGGAAGAGGATGGGCCTCGCACGTGCCTTTTCCCGCCATCCAGGCACGTGCAGTGAGAGACGGAAGAGGATGAGCCTCGCTGCACGTGCCTTTTCCCGCCATCCATCCTCCTCTCCCCTCTCTCACCGCACGTGTCTTCTCCCGCTAAAATTGGGAAGATAACCCAGAAGACTTATTTAACCGATCCGATTACAGAAGATTTACTTAGCATTCCTTTTCTTTTTTCTTTTTCTTTTTCGTCTTCTTTTTCTTTCTCGTTTTCTTTTTCTTTATTTTTCTGTTTTTTTTTTCCGACGATTGGTCGAGGATAACCCTTGGGATATACATACACATTCGCTGAGGATTGTTCTTCGGGACCTCCGCTAAATTTGGAAACGTACAGAGAAGATTAGCATGGTCCCTGCACAAGGATGACACGCACTAATCGAGAAGTCTGACATATTAAACACGATTTATCCGTGAGCAGTGCGGCGACCCAACACTCACTAAAAACACCAGAAAACTCACATTGAGGGCCATAGTCAGGGAAAAATCGAGTCATCCTTCTGGTGTTTTTACCCTGGGATGCGGCCAGGCGTTAATCAGCAGGAATGGGCCTTGTGCAATAGTTCGGGAATGATTGGGATAGTCGCACACAAATCGAGGAGTGTTCCGACAAAAAAAAAGAAGTGAATGATTGGGAAGTTAGGGGCTGGGCTCTCACATTGAGGGCATAGTCACACTAGGACTTTATGCACTTCTCTCTGGACGTAATGGCGGTCAGGTGCGTCCACCCCGGGTCAGAAAAGCAGTCATATACATCCAGCAAAGTCCTAGTACGAGTATGTTCTGAGCAGAAAAAGGAAGGAGAGGCGGCGAGGGCGCTGTTTTTTTTTGGGGGGGGGATTTTTTATTTCGTAGGGAAGCGGGAAATGGCTCACCGGTCTCCACCGTCTGTCAATCTGTAGGTGAGCATGAGGAATCGTGAAGGAGGCTGAGTTTATTTTTGTTTTTTTCAATCAATGTAGCAAGCTACGGGAGCAGGTAGCGTCATTCTCCTCCTCCCGGCTCCCCCCCCCCCCCCCCCCCCCCCCCCCCCCCCCCGGTGGTCGCCGTCCCCCCCCCCCCCCCACTTTTTTTTTTTTTTTTTTACTCCAATAACCCCGCAGCCATTTATCGTCCTGTCCTTAGACTTTCTCTCTCTCTCTCTCTCTCTCTCTCTCTCTCTCTCTCTCTCTCTCTCTCTCTCTCCCCCCCCCCCCCTTCCCCTCCCCCTCTCTCCTTCCGTTCGGCATCATCGACCACCAATTTTTTTAATATTGTTTTTTGAGCTCCGTTCATCCGCCACCATTTTAGGATGAAGATGGACTTTCAAATTTAGGAAAATGCCTAGAGTAGTAAATCTATGATCAGAATGGCCTTTCGTTATCCGTTTCCGCTTGCCCCGTAATTTCCCCTCCTTTCCATTCTGCTCTTCTCCCCTTCTCCTCTTGTGCTCTTCTCACCGTGTGTGCGATTTTTACCGTGAGAGTAATGGATCAAAATGGGCATTTTGATCCGAAGGAAGACCGATGATCGGTAGAAATCCGAGTGCCTTCGTCGGTCTTCCTTCGGATCCTCAAAAAGGCATACTCTCACTAGAATTTTCCTCTAGGATTTTTACCGATCGTCATAATTCCCGCGCAAATTTCGTCTGAAAAAACGTTTTTTCCTGCGGAAAGGATCCTTGCTTGAGCGGAGAAGTGCGGCAGCAGACGAACGTTTGCGGAGGGCCAGGAGGAGTGCGGGAATCGTGAGTCCACACACACACACACAGAGAGAGAGAGAGAGAGAGAGAGAGAGAGAGAGAATGGATGGCATGATCTCGTTGATGAGGGTGCACACGCAGTTCGTGCGGTATACCCTCGTTTGTTGCCGTCTTCTCCCTCTCTGCCTACGGTTTACCGGGCATCTCTGTTTGACTATATATAAGAGGTGATGAACAGGCGGGGTTTTCCTTCTTTCCCTTTTTTGGTTTCGTCTTCTTCCGCCTTTGCGCTCTCTCTCTCTCTCTCTCTCTCTCTGCACGCAGTTTATCGCTCAGAGCCTAGAATGTCTCACTATTTCATTAATTTAATATATGACATAAGAACGGGGATTTTTCTCCCTTTTTGTGTTTGGTGCGCATTCAGTTCTTGCCGTCCAACCTCTATTTATTCGCTCCGACCCCGAGGGAGAGAGAGAGAGAATGAGAACTCATATTGATGGTGGAATGGCGATCGCTCCCTTCTTTTTTTTTTTCCGTAGAAAGCGGTTAAACCCCTAAAATTGTTGTACTCATCAGGCTGATTGTTTCGAGGATTCGACCTCATGACCTATTTATGAACACGAAGGTGCAACATTGTTGCTGTAGTATTCAGACACATGGACTGGGTATTCTCCTAACGCGCATTTTGTTTGCTGCCGTATGGGTCGTATTTGGTTCTTCTTTGCCTTGCCGCTTTTCTCTTGACGCTCCAATTTTTATTTATTCTTTTTTTTTTTTTTAATTTGGACCATTTCTGGATCTGTGCATGTCATTCTTCAGATATTGTCAGGTGCCGCGCTAATTGATTAATCTTTTCTTTCCCCCCCCCCCCCCCCCCCAAAAAAAAAAAAATCGATCAATCCTTTCTCTATCCTTCCAGTTTTAATGGCTGTGATGTCTCCCGAAGCGCCCAACGGCATATTCTGTTGCATTGCGCGCCAAATGGAAAAACAGGACGAAAAGCGAGACGGCGGGCACAGAAGGAGAGGTCCACTGCGCGCCAAATTGTCGCCCTAGCCATCTGCACTTCGGCCCACGTGTAGGGATTTGCAATCTCTGGACTTTTTCGCCTATCGTCTTCACCCGAATAGAACGCCCCCGGTTCATTACACCTGCTGTATATTGGTCGACTCTTGTTTGATACAGCCATTATGACCGGGCGTTCTATTCGAGTGAAGTCGTTAGCCGTCTGCACTTTCGGCTACGTTGCAATAAGGGAGGCATTGAAGCAAATATCGTCCTTTGTTTTTTTTAATTTAAGTTTTTGCTTCAATGCCTCGCTTTTTGTTTTGTTTAATTTAAGTTTGCTTCAATGCCTCCCTTATTGTTTTGTTTAATTTAAGTTTGCGTCAATGCCTCCCTTATTTATTGTTTTGTTTAATTTACAGTAAGCTGCAACGGGTTCCAGGTTGTCGTCCTTACTGAGCAAATGACTGACTGTGGCTCCGGTGACTTTTTGTGCCATTATTTCGCCATGGCCTGACTAGGTCGAAAACTCGGTGGCCCGTAAAATGAAGAAAGCCATCATTGTCCTTCGGGACATCTGTTAAAATTGGAACGATACAGAGAAGATTAGCATGGCCCCTGCGCAAGGATGACACGCATAAATCGAGAAATGGTCCAAATTTTTTGAAAAAAAAAAGAAGAAATAAGCCATCATTAGATGATGGTGATCTGTTGGCTTGAGCAATAGTTAGTTATCTTGTTGCTGCTCCTGTTATGTATGGAGTACCATTACTTTACTCTTGATTTCTTCGTCCTTTGCTTCTTCTTGTTGTTCTTCTGCTTTCTCCAATTTCTTGTTCTCTCCTGCGGGAGGTCGCGTGTTCGGTCCTCGAGATCGAATCATGGTATGAAATGCAATTTCTTGCTAGCGTAGCAACCAGCAGTGCGGAGACGCATTGTGTGTTGGCTGCGTCGACAGCCTGTGTCGGTCATCGGGTCTGTTGTGAGTGTGACTGAGTACACTGCGAAATCCGTTTTCGGGTGGGGTTAAGTAGTTTTTGTCTTGGAGCTTAACCTGCACCTCAGTCAGCTTAGCCGTTCGGTTGAGCGTTTCGACTCCCGTGTGGGAGGTACGTGCGTTCGGTCCTTGAGATCGAATCATGGATGGAATGCAATTCTTCTTCTTCTTTTTCTTCTCTTCGTCTTCTTCTTTCTCTTTGCTCAGGGTGGAATGCTCTTGTGGATGCGGGAGAGAGGTCGCCTCTTGATACGTGCTGGGGCGCAACCAGCGGAAACCCGTCGAGGATTGGGAGCCCTTAGAGCATTGGCTATGTCCGTGAGGTTGTCAACTTGGATTGTGTAACGTCAATGGAGACGTGGTGATTGACCTCGTTACTTCCGTTTCGTTTCATTTCTTCTTCTCGTTGTTGTTGTTGTTGTTGTTGTTGTTGTTGTTGTTGTTGCTGTTGTTTCTTCAACTCTTAGCTGCGTAGCAACCAGCAATGAGGTCGTACATTGTGTGGTGGCTGCATCGACGCCTGTGTTGGGTGTGTGTGACTGGGTACACCGGGTCACGGGGAAAAACGAGTACCTGTGCTGGGGTGGGGTTAAGTGCTCATCTTGGGGCTTAACTTTCACCCCAGTCCACTTAGCCGTTTGGTTGAGTGCCAGCCTCCTGACCGGGAGGACGTGTTCGATTCTTGGGATCGTCATGAGAAGCGTAAGATTCAATTCAATTCTTCTTCGTCTCACATTCTTTTTCTTTTTGTTGTTTTTTGCTCTGCTCGTTCTTTGTCTTCATTCTTGTTGTTCTTTTGAGGAATTCCATTTCATGTTTTCTTCTTGTCTCTTTGTTGCTGTTGTTGTTGTTGCTCTGCTCTTGATTGATTGTTGTTGTCATTGTTCTTTTGAGGAATTTCTTGTCATTTCTTTTTCTTCTCTTTTTTTTTTTGGTTTTTGTCGTGTTTTGGGTTGTTGTTGTTGTTGTTCTTCTTCTCTTTGCGGTTGTTGTTGCCATTGTTGTTCTTCTTGTTGTTGTTCTTTCGAGGAAGGGATCTAATAAGAAAGTGATTGGGTGTTTCTTGTTTGGTACTGCAGGCTAAGCGGGCGTGAAGGAAGTTCTGGTCTTGGCAAACAGGTATTCTGCATAGTGACGTGGCAAATGCCTCGACTCAGTGGCCGTGAGACGAGCTGTGAGGGGAAGATTGGTGTGGACGCCCGCTTGTGCGGCCCCTATGACATGCGCTGAACACTGAGCAGAGGAACATGTTGAACGTTTCTGTGTTTGTTACTATGAGCTAAACGAGCGTGAGAACCGTTGTGGTCCTCACGAATGAGCAGCACTTGTGCTTAGTTTTGTGGCGAATGCCTCTCGCCGCAGTGGGCTTGAGACAAGAGCAGTGTGGGGCAGATTGGTGTGTGTGGCAGAGTGTGCGGCCTCAATGACATGCGCTGAACTCTGAGCAGAGCAGTATGGTGTATATATGATGCTGCTGCTCGAGGGCACGACTCTTTTCATCTAGGGGTGGTTTGGCTTTTGCTGGTTGGTGTTGTCAGTGAATTGACGTTGCTGGTGTTTTGGCCCCTGTGATCGAGAGGGGTTGCGGTGGCAGTGAGTTGTTGGTTGGTTCCTCGAACCCATAACGCGTTCGAGATTTGAAAAATTGTTGGGCTGCTCAGCAATGCAGATCATCTTGGCGTGAAGGGGCGAAACACAAGCGAGCATACAGTTCTCTGATTGGATGGTTGGCGAGTTGGTTGTGCTTGGTAGGTGATGAGGTAGTAGAGAGATCACCGTGGAGTGCGTAAATACAGACTGGCGTTGGCGTTGCGTTTGCGTTTTTGACTCTTTTGTCACATTTGTTTGTGCGCTTGTACACTTGGTGTTGTCTATTCCTTGTCGTTCCGTGCGAACGCCAAGTGTTAAGTCTTTGGTATAGCTTCTTTCACCATCACAACCCCTTCTACAGTTGCCAAGCAGGGACTTTGAGGTGTCCAGTGGCTTGAGGGAAACGACTGCCGTGGGGTGAGTGGGTGGTCGGTTCTCCACTTGAACTTTGATGACCGCTCATCTGGTTTCTTGGATGCGGTCGGCAAGCAATCACCTGAGGTATAGCTGTAGAATCTATATGGTTGCTTCTTCCCTTTCTTTGTCTTCTATCACTAGGGCCTTTCCCCACTCTAAACCGAAGGACAGTAGTGAGTGTAGGTTTGCGGCAGTGTCATGGACACTAGGAAACGCAGCTTTGTTGGATTCGTCAAGGCCCCTTGCCAGTAATTCGTCCTCCACTGACCATCCCTTTCCTCCTGGTTTCACCCATCATCACCTCCTCGTCTAGTTCTTTCATCTCCCTAAGTACCTGTCTATTTCTTCTCCCAGGTACTTCTCTATCTACTCTCCATCTCTCTGCACCTATCGCTCCCTCCGCTAGTCCTATATATTCGCAAGATACTTGTCAGTTGGGCAATGCTGCTTGGGGTGCTCAGTCCCACAAACCCAGCGATTCGCATCTGACCTGTTTGTCTGCATTCCTGGAGTTGGAGTTATCTCTTGTGGATGCAGCGCTATAAATCTCCAGTGCCTGCTCCGTGATTTCCTTGGTGATTTTCATCCGTCCCCTTCCTGATTGCAGGGTCCTTTGCTAGAGTCCATAGCTAGTAGTTTGTACAGTGGACATTGCTGTATGGCCGGTGGCAGGTGGCGTTGCAAATATTGCTGCATGGCAGGTGAAGTTGCATATTATATTCAGCCGGGGGGGGGGTGCGGGGCCGTGCAGGGGAGCGTTGTATGTTAATGTGGCTTGGGGCTGTACATAGGTGCTGCGGCTGGTTTGGTTTATGTATGTGCACTGCAGGTATGGAACTGCATTGAAGGATGTGCAGGAGCAGGGAAACAAGTGCTGTAAGTAGAGCGGCGGGAGGGAGCTGTAATTAATTAAGCATACGTGCGGCGGCAAGAAGAGAATAAGAGCATCCTCACACTCGTACTTCTGTGTATGTATCAGGCGACAATTACGAACAGATTTCGGCAAAAGAAGTCCCAGTGTGAGCAATGCTCTAAGTGTGTAAGTACTTAAGGGCTTCAGAGGTGTATAGGCTTTGGCATGCACGTCACGTTGTTGCATGGACATCCATCTACATTGGCATGACGGCTGTGGGGGTTTCGCTGTATCGACATTGATCAGATTCACACCGAAACCTCGGTGTTGGCTCGGGGCACATGCTCGGAATCCTTTGACAAGAGCTTGAAAAGAATAAAGTGTACAATTAATATCCGTCTGCTTTCACTGTTACCAAAACAAGTTTTTCACTTTTTTGCCTTGTTATCGAGAGAGGTGTTGCAAATATTGATCTGATCTGCTTGCACCCGTGCGCAAGGATGCACACCATCACCAGCCCACAATCTATGAAGTACTGCTACGCAGCTGCATTTGCTTCTCAGGGGAAGGGGACAAAATGTTTTTCCACCTCCCATGCCGGGGCACACAGCTCCTGTGTGCAGACTTGCACTGCAGGGCAGTGTGCATTTTCGATCGCGAGGGATCACCGCCAGATCTTATCGGTAGTCTGTGAAGGTTTCAGGGTACCTTTGTGTTTCAGGGCGCCTTTGAATCTTTCTGACCCCCATCACCAGGCCGGTATCAGGTTGGAAGTGCGAGCGACGTCATTGTTGCTTCCATCGTCGTCTCGGACATCACGCTCCTGGAAAACGTCCCGGAACCAGAACTTGGATTGTCATTCGAGTCCACGGCTTGTGAGAAGAGCACGGCAGTCAGTCTGCACCAAGGTGGGAAGGTTTCTGACTGGATCCATAGTGTTTCCCAGTGCTAGGCTGCACCTGCATGGCTTCAGACAACCGAGGAGCGATGTTGGAGGGAACAGCTACCCTCATCATATGGAAGAGTGGGCAGGGAGCACCCCCGAGGGGGAAAGGTATAAGGAATACCATCAAGAAGCACTTGAGACAATATGGAAAGGGCAGATGCAGCAAGCAGAGGGAGTGAGGCGTGTACTAGAGACGGGGTGGAAAGTTACAGATGAGGATTCACAATCATCTCATGTCTCTCTTGATGGAAGCGGCAGCCAGCAGACGCGCAGAGAAGGTGAAGAGCCGGAGCACCGGTCTAACAGTTGTAATGCTTTTGAAAACCCTTTGGATGCTTTTGAAAACCCTCTGGAAGAGAATTGGTGGCCGTACAAGATGGAAAGGCCAAGTCCTTCTGCGAATGACAAGGAGAATGATGAGGTCCCAGATTGCTCGCCAGAAGTGTTGAATGAGGGAGAAGAGAGGAGAGGAATAGCACGCCCCTTGGTCGAGTCGATTCCGTACTCGGTAACCGGGGATCCGGGCCGAAAACCTCGAGGAGTCCTGAGAAAGGAGCCGACCGGATGGCTACCTGGTGATCCTGACATCCGCAGTACTGCTAGAGCAAGTGGGCTGTTGGGCAGATCAGCCTTGAGCGTAATTGGTCGGGATTCCATAGGAGACACAAGGAGCAGCAGCAGAGGTTCATTGACTGAGGATGAGGATCGGCGAGGGGCAGCCGCTCTCGATGCGATCCTCGAGAGGATTCGTGCGTCTGGAATCATTGCTTGTGTGAAAGCAGATGACAGTGATGTGGCACTTCAAGCGGCACGTGCAGCTCTTGATGCATCTGTTTCTGTGCTGGAAATTCCCCTCACAACTCCTGCTGCAGATGAAATCATTCATACTCTGGTAGCTGAATATCCTAATGCTTTGATTGGTGCGGGGACAGTTCTCGGCATGTTGGATGCTGCTTCAGTCATTAAAGCGGGTGCGAAGTTCCTCATGAGTCCTGGGATGGATGAACATCTGGTTGGATGGCTGAAGGAGGGGCCTGCGCTACTGATTCCGGGTGCCATGACTCCCACGGAGCTCATGAATGCCACCAGGAGCGGAGCTCGAGCTGTGAAGGTCTTCCCTGTCACAGCGGTTGGAGGGGTGAACTTTGTTAAAGCGATGTGTAGGCCATTTGGCAAAGTGCCCTTAATCCCTGCTCATGGCATAACAGTAAGCATGATAGAGCCATACGTCACTGCTGGGGCTGTAGCTGTCGTCTTGTCCGATGCGATCTTCGACCGGGCAGCCATGATGGCAGGGGACTTTGCAGAAATCTCAAAAAGGGCAGCTTCAGCTGCAGAGGAGGGAAGACGTGCAGTTCGCCTCCGAGCACAGATTGGAGAGTAAAACTTATGGTACCTGTCAGCTGCACACGCGCCGTTTCGTTCGCTACACAACTTGAGGGCAAGCAATCATTATGGCAGTAGTGCCAGTGGCAAGCATCACTGAAGAGTGGGACAGCTGATTGACAACGCGGAAAGTTTCTGCTGTTTTTCTGACAAATGGTGGAGAAGAGGATTCGTAGCTAACCACCGTGGGCAGCCCGCCAAGCACCGGATGGGCCTGTTCTTCTGTGTTTGAATGTACATCCGGTCATTTTTGAGACAATTGCCCAGCTAGATGCCTGCAGAAGACAGCAACGGAACTGTGGAAATACTGGCCTCAGTTCCAATCCCGTCGAAGGAGATGTCCAGAATGAAATATTTCTTGGGAAAAATATATATATTGCCTGCAGCAGAAGGGTCTCTCTGCCTTCGCTGCCTGTGATGCCGGAGAATTGTGGCAGAGTAGACAACAGATAAGACTTCACCTCATCAGATGACTGCCAACTTGCCAAGTTGTGGTCTTGGTTGCGCAGCTGAAGAACCGGCAGGGTCTGTGAAAATTGGTGACAGCGGGTAATGCAAGTGAAGAAAAAGGACAGGTTGTGGACTGCAGAGTCGTCCATGGGCATTCCTCGGCTCATCGTGCTGTGCATTGAACGAATGCTGCTGTTACCCCACCAGTACTTGGCCCATACATCGGCCGCGGGGTTTCCCGTTCCCACGCCGCAAACCGATGGGCTTCGGGCTGCTGGAGCACAATGGCTGGAGGCGCCAGCCAAAAGAAAAACGAAACGACGTGGTGGTGGCTTGGCAAAACTTGGCGTGGCGGGGTTTTCGCGGCTTGGCATCAATAGCTGGGGCAAGTACTGGTGGTTGAAGTGCGTTGCTGATCTGTGTATATGCTTGGCAGTCTAGGGTGCAGCGTGTAATTGAAGAAAAAGGACAGGGTGTGGACCGCAGAGTCGTCCAGGGGCATTCCTTGGCTCATCGTGCCGTGCGTTGAACGAATGCTGCTGCCAAGTGCGTTGCTGATGTGTATAGGCTGGCTTCTGTTGCTGTTTATCCGCAGTCGATGCCATGTATTATTTGCGATGCCCTTGGTTTGCCTGGGTGGTAGGCTGACTTTTTTTTTTTTTTTTTTTTTTTTTTTTTTTTTTTTTTTTTCCCCTTCTTCTTTTAGGCTTTTTGCCAACATAAGCAGTTCTATCGGTTTCATTCCATGTTGTTCCAGATCGTCTTTTTCCTTTTTTTGTTAAAGGAAAAACAGCTGATGCTTTTCTAATGACAATGCTTGGTCATATCCCCCCTGCTTGTCACGAGACCCCTCTTATCTGACGAAATCTGGGAACTCTCAGGCAATCTGCACGTGCTTTCAAAATTGTTTGTATGTCAATAATTTTATTATTATTATCATTATTTTATTTTTTTTAAAAGAAAAATACGAGGCCAGGGACCTCGCAATTCAACCTGGGTACCGAGTGCATTACTCAGCTTAGCTTACGGAGCATTCCATTTACTACAATTCTTTGTTTTCAGTTCCGGTTGCTCCAGTCTACTGGTGCCGAACCTCACCTGCTGAAAAGCTTGTCCAACATCGCAAATGAATATATTGAATGCATAAAGAGGACTCAGATGAGAATCTAATCATGGACTGCCAGTATCGACTACCCCAGGGGATCTGTGGGGGTAACTGTGCAGCTGATAGGCATGTCCTAGTATTTTTTGCCTGCTAACCCCTTCTGTCTCTCTCTCTCTCTCTCTTTTTTTTTTTTTTTTTTTT